AAAAAATATTTCCAGACCATTTCTCCTTCCTCACTAGTCCTGTGCTGAGGCCAAAAATTTAGAACTAGCCCCAGCACAAAATTTAGAACTAGCCCCAGAGATCATGGCTTTGTGAAGGGTGGTGCCAGTGGTCACCAAGCCACCTGAAAGCAAACCTGTTTCCCTGAGTGTCTGTACAGCCCAGCTTTCCCTGGATCACTGAGGGAGCCTGAATGGTGGTCGGGGACTGATGTCTCTCCATCATGTTGGTAGCATTGAGCAGGTGGCCCCAGCACTCCTGTTGCTAGGTAGAGGAGTACCTGGAGCAGGAAGAGGAGTCACTATTTGGCCACATCCCCACTCCCCTGTCCCTCTAACTCTAGAGGATTCCTTCTGTGCAAAGTTGTGCTCCATTAGGAAGTCGCAACTTGGAAGCTGTGAGGGCCTAGCGCTCTCCTATGGGCTGGAGCATCCTGTGCTGTCATAAAAGCACTGGGGATCTATCAGCCTCAGCCCTAGGAACAAGTAGGGCCAGACCGTGTCTGTCCCCTCCAGGGTGCTCAGCAGCAGCCCTGGTCTCTACCTGCAAAATGCCAGGAGCATCCTCCCACCCCGGTGGTGACAGTCAAGATGTTGGCAGCCATTGCCTGTCAAGGGCACCATGGGCCCAGCTTGAGAACCACCGCTCTCAGCCTAACCTCCTGGGGATGGAGGAGGCTAGCCCAGAGAGGGAGGCTGAGTCTCAACTGGTCTGAGAGCAGTTAGGACACCCCTTGCTCCTGAGCACTGCGGTGAGCGCTTTCCTTTTAAAACAAGCACCAGTGGCTCCTCTGGTGCTGTAGACACCCCCTCGGCCACTCTGGGAAGTCCACGACTCGGGGAGACAGTGCAGCCATATTTGTCAGGTTTGGTTATCTGGAGAGGAGGCTACTCCAAAGAAGAGTGCATTCCAGCTGGATGATGAACTGATAGACACGGGCCTCGGGGCAGCTGACCACCCAGCAGGTGGACTGGAACTTGGGAGCTTGAAGGCACTCCTGCAGCTTAGATCCTGGCCCTTCAGTCTTTATTGGGAGACAGCCTAAAGGCATCTGGCTTTTACACATCTCCCCCTAGTGCACCTCACAGCCCTTGAGACAGAGGCCAGGACCCTATTCCGAGCCTGGCCTCCTGGCTTTGGATAGAAAGGATGTCCTTTCCCTGTGGATGTTCATCTTTACCATCAGCATCTCCCTTTCCTCTGCGCACACCTCCCTGCGCCCAAACCCGCAGGGTGGCCCCAGGAACAGCGAAGCATGGGCAGTGGGGAGTGCATGGTAAGGAAGTGCCTCTGGAATCTGCCAGCCTCTATTTAGTACATGAGCTGTGGCTGCCAAAACCTGGAATTCAGCATGAAGTATCCTGTCAGCAAGTTCATTCATGTGGTATTAACTCAATAACCTCAAATCTTGACTCTGAAGAAGCAGGATCGCTTTTGTCCTCAGGTTTTAAATGAAATAGGTGTTTCAAAACCTGTGCGATATACCC